ATGCTTTAAGATGCATGGCTGGGGAATTCTGGGAGTTGAAGTCCACCCAAAGTTGCTGAGGTTGAAAAACAATGATGTAGAGCTTGTTTGAATGGAGCATTGTCTCTGGAAGGGAGGGAAGAAGACAAGCCCCTGGTCAAAAGAGGTCTTCTGCCGGAGCAAAACATGAGCAGAGCAGGCCCAATGATGTTCTGCTCCCATGAGAAGATGGGAGATGTTCTCCATGGGAATCACGACTTTGATGGTCCCAAGTTGGGGAAAGCCAGTTCTGATGCTCCACTGCTCCACCTCCACCTGCAGAGCCATTCCTGAAAAATGAAAATGAACGTTATCATAGCCCATTCATGAAGCCAGTAGGCCAGAAGCTGGGGAGGTTCAGGCCTAGAGATCTCCAAATTGGGCAGTGGAAGATCCGAAAGCTTGGCCCGCCCGATTGAAATCCGCCCATGGGCCAGAGAGGCAGAAACGGACTCTCTCTTTCATTTCAGTAAAAGTAGAGTTTTGCTACTACTTTTATCAGATACTACTGATCTACGTTCAGGGAGAAAGCAGATCTCTTGCGAGCAAAACCGTAAGCTTTCAAGGTTGCACAGGGTAGGAAGAACCTGAAAAGGCCCTTGCTGGAAATCTCGGAGAGGTGATTCTTGTCTGGATCCTCAACTCTGTTTAATGCCATCGAGGTTAGCCTCCTGAGTGTCCCTAATGATGCTCCAGACTTTGGGTGGCAATTCCCAACTCCATAAAAAGATCTCTTGGGGGAAACAATGCTTGCTTCTGAAGGATGGGTTGGTGGGCCTCCAGGAGACAACCTTCACCCTGAACATTTCGGAGGGGCCGAGAACGTGGTCCTCACCAGAGACCTCTCCTCTTCTCCCAGATCTGCAGACCGTGCGGACTACGGTGGCCGTTTTTGGGAAGGGCTGCCTAGGTGCCTCTTTCAATTGCATCTATTTGTTCACTGGAGAACTTTATCCAACGGTGCTCCGGTAAGAGCTCCCCAAACGAAGGGCAGCAAAATCATTCTTGCAGGCAAGTGTGAAAGGAGAGCTTGGGCTCAGGCGGGGAAAAAGAAGAAGATTGGGCACAAGACGGGGACCTGCTGGGTGTCATTCCAAAGGAGGCTTCAAGTTTTGCTCAGCTCCTGCAGTTTTTTGGCAATCAGTGGAAATGATTTCGTAGAATCATAGAATCATTGGCTCGGAAGGGACGTCAGAGGTCTTCGAGTTCAACCCCATTTCTTTGGGATCTCTTTGCTAACTCCTCAGCCGAGCCTTCAGGTCTGAATTTCCTGGGGGTTTCCCATCCATGTCCTAACCAGGCCCTAACCAGCTTAGCTTCCAAGCCCAGACACTCAGCCGTTAGCTGTTATCTGCTGAGACGTAACTCTTCCCGGTCTCTCTTTCTCCTCTCTGGCCACATCATGCCTTACCCAGATGCCACCTTTCTTCTCTCATGGAGCTCAGCTCTCTTCAGAGTCCACTTTCTCAAACTCATTTCGTTTCATCTCCGCTCACTTTGGGTTCATTTGGACGTGGGGGCTGAAATGGGCTTGTCTGTTGTTTTCCAAAGTTTCTCAAAAGTTTTCTTCCCTTGCAAAAGAGGATTTTTTCTCCTACCTGGTTCTTTGGGGGCTTAGGAGTGTCTTTGGAGTGTCACTTGGGGATTTTTTCAGCTCTTTTCACCCCTCTGCAGCCCCCTCCACTGAGAAAGACAGAAGTGTAGACAGAAGTGGGGGTGCAAGGAAAGACCTCCCGTATATACGTCTCTCTTGGCCATTGTCACTAAAGCAAGTCGAGAACGCCACCCGTGGCCCATAGGAATTTCTCTCCAAAGTTTTTCTCCTTCTCTTCCATCAAAACCAGTTGGAGAAAACGCAAGACTGTTTTTCTGCAGAGGGCTCCTTGATGAAGCTAATTTCCTTCCTCTTTTTCTTGCAAGGAAAAGAAACTGCAGCAGTTCCCCTTCATAAGAAAGGCAGCCCCCTTACGCCCGTTTTCCAACCCAAATGGATTAAAACAGGACTATGGTTTGGACCCGGTGTCAAATCCTGGGTTCAACTGAAGCCTCATTGCACTTGAAGGTCTCTCGTTCCTTTTCAGACCCGTTTGCTTGGTCCTTCTGGGTTACAGCCCGCCTTTACGAATCTCGCTGGGTTTCAAAACCAGGGTTCAACTGAACAAGCCCGTTTCAAACTGGTTTTTCTGCAATCATCTGCCGCCCTCTACGTTTTTATAATTACAAACCGCAGTTAAGTCACTTGTGGAGCTGATGTAAGGACACAGAGTTCGAAACACACTGGAACAAAGATGCTGGTGTAGGAAGGAAGGGGTGGGACCAGATGCAGCCTTCCCCAAGTTACGGACCGTGGCATTCATGGGCACTCCGCTTGGCTAATGCATCTTTCACTGTCCTCCGCTAGCGTGACTGGTGGCCTACCACTCCCATAATCCTCAGCCAGGCATGCTGAATGGGAGTTGTAGCCCACGTTGTCTAGAAGGCAGCAGAGGGTGGGAGTAGTTTCATCCTTGAAGGGGAGGGCTGAGATAGGCTAGTAACAAGAGAGTTTTCCAATTCTTGGATCTGGAGACCCTACAGTTGGGAGATTCTCCGTAGAGGGCCTCCATGAGGTCCAGCGGCATGACCAATCCTTTTGCTTGGGGTCTATCCATGCAGGCAGACCGGCATGGGCCTCAGCAACACCATGGCCCGCTTGGGTGGCATCGTGGCTCCAGCGGTGAGGATGACAGGAGAATATATCCCATTCCTACCCCATCTGATCTACGGGGCCGCTCCCATCATATCTGGAATCGTTGCCACCTTCTTGCCGGAAACGCGCAACATCCCATTGCTGGAGACGATCGAGCAGGTGGAGAACAGGTGAGGAAGAAAAGGTGCCCCAGATTTCTGCATTGTTCCTGGAGCCCTCAAAGATCTTCTCTTTGCACGTTGATCCTACGACCTTCTTTAGTAAGAAAGCCAATTTGGGGGATGCACGTTTTAAAATGAAAATGGTAATTTAAAAAGTGAAGGGGGCAGACACCCAGCCTCAACCACTTGAAGGTGAAAACTAACTATGGTCTAGCACGGTTGTCCAGAGTCATCTGCTTGCTTGTCAACGGTGGGTCCCGTTTGCCAACCCGCCAACATTTAATGACATTTTCTTTGGTGCAGATCCCGGAATAAGGGCCAGAAGCTGGACGCACAGCAAACGGAGGGCCTCTTGGTCCCCAGCATGCATGAAAGCAAGAAAATCACTGTTTAAGGAGAGAAAAACAAGATCCACAGGGCCTACCTTTGCAGGAAGATCCATGAGGAACAAGGACAGGGCCACACTTTGGAACAATGCGTCCACGTGAGCCGCCCAGGCAGAAGTGACCGTGCAGATGAAGGGGACCAATAATATTCCGGATTTGGGAAAAAACCAAACGCTGTTTGGAAGATATTCCACTCTCTGTACATTCATTCTGTCTGATTTCTTCTTCTGTTTTAAACCTGGATCCTTTCGGTTGCAAAGCATGGCTAGATCCCCCCAGTTTGCTAGTCCAGGCCAAAACTGGCTTGTAGTTTAATGTGTCTCAGGAACCCAATCCCTATCTTAGCTTGTTGGTGAACGGGGCCATCTTCTTAAACGGGGGCTAAGTCTTGAGCTGCTAACAAAGATTGTCAAGAGGTGGCAGCAGTGAGACACAGGAAGAACTAACTTTGGCTTATCCAGGATCCTTTGAACCTAGCCCCCGAGAAGCCAAAATATGGTTTGTTTGGGTACCACACACAGTGTCAATACAGCCATGCGTTTCATTCACCTGGGTGTAAGTTTAGGATGTTTTGTGCACCCAACTCATGGGGTCTACGCTGAATAAAACGTTCTGGGCCCCAACTCCTCTCTATAAAATGAATTAAAATCCAGAGTTTGAACACTGAGGATATCCAGGTTCATTTTCTCTACCTGCCATTCCGGATTCACACAACATGCTTCATCAGATCAATTAAATGCTGGGTTAGTTTTAACCTCAGGGTGCAAACCCAATGCAGCTGGCCGATGTATAAATGAACACATTGCATAAACCCAGAAAGCAGGTTCATCCCGAAACCCGGTTAAATGCAAATAAACCCAGCCTAGGAAAAAGTGATCATTGCTCTGTTTGGTCCTAACTGATTTCTCCATTTCTGGATTCTGTCGGGGTCTCTGGTGTCGATTTGAGGGCTGGGGGCCGGGTTTGGAAAACACAAGCAACGTCCTCTCGCAAATCCAACCGAGGGGTTGGAATGAAGAAAGTCTGTATCCTATTACAAACCGGTTTTGTCCCAGTCCCTTAATTTAGAACCATGAGGACTAGAAGCTTTTTATTAATAGGGGAAAACTAAAGCAAAGCAGAAGGCGTGCTTTGGATGTTGGTCAGCACAAGTTGAGCTGGTGAATGCGTCTGTGCAATTTTGGGGGGGAGGCATTTCATTTTCTGAGAGTTTTTTTTTTTTTTTTGGACTTCCTAGTTGAGTCTCCCATCTTGGGAGTTCCTGTTCACTCCTATTCATTGCTAACCTGAGCTGACCCTGCTTAGCTTTCTCAGGTCAGTCTTCACCTGGGAAAACAGGAGTTTTTTACTCATCAGATACGACTTTCTGTTTGGTTCATTACATTGCAGAATTTTCCTTGAGAAATCATTGACAAGCCGTGAATAGAAATTAATCTAAACGTTAAGCATCATTCTCAAGCAGGGGCTCCCAGCATCTTTTCCCCTGATCCGAAAAATCCCTTGGAATTGCCAATTCCAATATTGCCAATCTATCCCAGAGAATAATCAATGGGGGGAGTGATGGATTCCAACATGGTTATTTCAATTTCTTCCGCTTGGTTCAAAACCATGAGGACTAGAATCTTACTTCCTTTTTAGGGAAAGGTCTAACAAGGGCAGCTTGCTTTTGAAAAGATCTTGCAAGGAGGACTCCCCTCCCTTTGCTCCACCACTGGGTCAACACAACAGTGCTGGATCCCCAGGGTGAAAGACCTGGGCTGAAAGATCAAGATCCCCAGGGTGAGAGATCTGGGCTGAAATATCAAGATCCCCAGGGTGAAGGACCTGGGCTGAAAGATCAAGATCCCCAGGGTGAGAGATCTGGGCTGAAAGATCAAGATCCCCAGGGTGAGAGATCTGGGCTGAAAGATCAAGATCCCCAGGGTGAAAGATCTAGACTGAAAGATCTGTGCTGCCAAGT